TGAGAAAGAACAATTTTATCTTCTAGCTAGTAGGTGACTACATCAAGAAGATATTTCTTAAATCTTTAAAGTTTTTTTCAATAGATCAACGATAATAAAAATGAGACAGGCATGTGAAATGGCCTGCCTGCTGGTTCTTATTTTACAAAAATTGAAATTTGAATCTGATAAACTTGAAGGAAATGTACACTTGAAAAGTTCTATTGGTAAATGCAAATGAAGCATAAGATGTATAACCTAATATTCTATTGCTTTTTTTTGCAAAATGTCTTCAATATCATACTTAGTGGTTTTATATGGACGTAGGTACGTAAGACGAATTTTAACCGCCGAGTTCTGCCCCTTCCAAACACACTCGCCATCTTGAAACGGCGTAGTCCTCCTGATAATGAATCACCAGGATTTGCATTTTTCTGAATAATGTAGAAAATTAGATTAATCGTAACGTAGTAGACAATCACTATGCCGCGAGGCAAAGTGACCATAATTTATAATTTGCTTTATAAATAGTGTTCTTTTATTTATCATTCAATCTCAAGAACACAGTAACGTTACTAGTTCTTTTATCTCAAAGTTTATGTCAACAGATCAACATTAAATAAAAAAACAAGTACATGAAACGGCCTGCCTTCGTGGCTTTTATTTTACAATGGTTTTAACCGCTGTACAACACGTACGCAATACGCACCTTATTTGGTTTAATAGTAACGCATATGTCTAAAGGAGGTATTAATATCTATAGGCCACAACAACAACAACAGCATATGTTCGTGGATATGGAGGAATCGTAGTTCAGCCTTGAAATGATTCTGGCTGAACCTTGGTTAATTTGCCCTTAAGGACTTATGGTCTACTACACAATTTGAGAAAGAGAGGCCTACTAGGCTTTTGTCCTTACCAAGGGCATTGTATAGAAGGCTCTTTCTATACAATGTCCTTGTCCTTATCCAGCTCACGGGTCACACACACACTGTGAATCATGAGGACACTGACAGGCATCTTCGACAGCGAAAGGACTACACCAAGAGATCCAGTTTTGCTGATTTCTAGATACTGACTTTGCCTGATTTTTATTGGGTGAAATACGCTAAGTACAGAGTGTAAAGGACTCTTTTTACACAACCAAGTCTATTATTCAGCTGACGTTTCGGTGAGCGTCTGTCACCTTCCTCAGGGCAATTCTGACTGGTTCACCTTGCAATCACGCATATGTGTAGATATGTAAATATTGTACGTTAGGGAATGCATCTATAGCAGCGACACCTGTTCTGCAGTGCAATGTGAACCAGTCAGAATTGCCCTGAGGAAGGTAACTGAGGCGGTCACCGAAACGTCAGCTGAATAAAAGACTTGGTTGTGCAAAAAGAGTCAGTCTTTACTCAGCTGTCTTACCAACCTGATGAAACTATTCACGGATACTCTGAGTGCAGTTGATAGAAATGTTGACATGCGTGACTCAAGAACATCGCAATTGCTTGCATATGACATTATGCTATTGCTGTGACTTGAAGTTGTGACCTTTTGAACTTACTCATGCTCGTACGTACTTTATTCACCCTATGAGGCCAAACGTGCAGCACTGAGAACTGACCCGCACATGTAGCTTGAGGCAAAGACATCTGTGTGATACCCTTACGCTTGCTTTAGGCTATAAAGATTTACCTTACTGTAAACCCGTGTTCATATTGGCTTAGTATCCCCATCGTGGGGTCATGTACGTGGCGTAACGGCAGAGCGTTCGACCAAGAGGTCCCGAGTTCGAATCCCTGTCATGCCATGCACCGATCTTGTGCCCCTGTGAAAGTACTTTACACGAATTCCCTTGCTTTACTCATGTATATTTGTTGTCCGTTCATGCGTTTGTCTGTCATAGTTGCGACGTAAAAATAAGTTGAAAAACTCGAGTTTGATGGAAATGTTGGAATAGAGAAAATATTGGCTAGCACATGTATATACCCTAGTATGGACCGAAGTATTACACGTAAAAAACATCCACACAAAAAAGTACTACTAGTAATACTGGATAATTTAGACTGAATAGCTAGACATCGTCTTTTTGTTCAGTTGATAGCCCGTATACCAATTACCATTCCGGTGTGAATGACTCGAAGCAGTCCAACCGCTACGTGTACAGGGCGGTTGTATCATGTTAAGGCCGTTGCGTAAGTCTCACCACGCGTCCAGCGCAATGGCCAAGGTTAGGATCAACCGGACAGTCACCCTGGGTCTTCTTCTCGTCTCCTTGAACGTACTTTTCATGCTGATACTCCAGGAGTGCGTGGTGGGACCGAGCGGCCGTTGGGAGAGGTCCTTGCGGGACGTCAACATGTTTGAAAGTTTGCCAGTGGATCTGACGGCAGATACAAATAGGTGAGCCGTACGTACGTGTGCCCATAAGGGCGTCGATGATTAGGGAGTGTGCTTTATCTTTCTGACTCACTGTCTGGGTGAAAGTACAACAAGAAACGTCTAAAAATATGCTTATTTGTTCAAAACAGTAAACATAAATGTTCGAAATACACATGAGGTTGTCAACAATGCCTCTTAGGGCAAGCTCATTTCCAACCAGCCCTATATGATTTTTAGTCAGTGATTTTCAGTCCATTTGTATCTACACACTGTCTGGGTGAAAGTACAGCAAGGAAAGTCTAAAAATATGCTTATTTGTTCAAAACAGTAAACATAAATGTTCGAAATACACATGAGGTTGTCAACAATGCCTCTTAGGGCAAGCTCATTTCCAACCAGCCCTATATGATTTTTAGTCAGTGATTTTCAGTCGATTTTTGTCCAGTGAAGAACGTTGCAGTGTGCTTACACGTTAAAATACTTTATAACTTTTCATCTATAGCCGTATCAGTAAAGATTTGGCAACTAGAAAAACAAAGCATTATATAAAAGTCGAACCAAATCAAATGAGAACTCAGTTGACTGACAATTGACCTTAAAATGTTACCAACCCCTTAGGCGGCCTCAGAGTGTAACCCAGAAGATACAAATGTTCAACATAAACAAAATGTGAACTGAAAACGCTACATTTTGTACCCCTTTCTTAAAACGCCCTTTCATTTGCTTCAAATACGTCAATTTTGTTAAGAAAAAAACAGTGAAAGATTTGATAAAGAAAGAAGACAACTATGAAACTTTCATAGTTCTTTTGTGTTATAGTTTCCTTACGAAATCTTTTTATTAAACAAGTACCAATAGACCCCATCCGATAGTCATATATGGACAAGCCCGCGCAGCGTAATCACTAGTATCCATGTGATTAGGTATGAAAGGATTGGTTCAATCCTCGGTTCAATCGGTTGAGACAGACCTAGTCTGACCTTAGCTCGGACGTGGCAGTTGTTGTGAACAATAATCAAACTTTTACATACCAGTAGACAGTGCCTGCTACGTATTGTGTAAGCGTGTTACACCGAAAGGCGGTTGTGACAGGCTATGCAGATAAGATCAAGATTTTGCCCATGTTTACTGTCACGTACTAGTTTTGTTCATAGTGTAAGAAAAACGTTAGAAAACTTCCCACAGGGACCTTTTGGTGTATATAGTGTAACTTGGCCATGTGTGAAGAACTAGTAATCTCCAAGCAGATCTTCCGGTGGCCTGTAAAGACAGTAAAATGGCTAGGGAATATCCATTTGCCAGACAGTTGTACCATTTTGCCACCCGTGGGCAGCTGATGACCTCTAGATGGTCAGTTTTAACCGTAACCCTTTTGCCGCCAGACATCTGCTTTGAGATTATAAAATAACCTCCCTGTCCGAATTGAGTATCATGGCCCATCATCCTGTCCTAACCCTGCGTACATACATTCTATCATGAGTCGTATACTAGTACTAGTATTTCTTTAGTACTGACATATAGCCAAGACTACCGGCCCATCTAACCACAAGCTATGAACTGTAAGTAATGTTTTAACAATAGAAGAAATACGTACGGTGGCCCCCCCTCAATATTGTCAAGGTTCATTGAACTCTCAAATCATGTTGAAGAATTCACGTACCAAAATTAAATCCCCAGTCACGTATATCAGTAATAGTTTGTAGACACAGGGGAAATTTTTCTGTTTTCATTGTATTCTTGATCCTTGCAATCTCTTTTAGGACAATAAAAAGTAATGTTACCAAGAAGACAAAACTGCGGAGTCACAAGTTTAATGAGAAGACTTTTAGCTGGACTGACTTCAACAAGACAGCAGTAACCATTCTCAGGTGGGAATTCGTATTCAACTGTTGTTGTTATGTGGGACAATTTATACTTTTATGGTCTTTTAAGAGTAGCACATGAATCTCGCTATGTTTCAGAGCAAGAACGCTTGTCAGTATGTCATGTACTAGTATATCATGTAATGTACATATACAATGTACTAGTATCAGTGAGATGATCCATTGTATACCGTGAACAAATTATCTCTTTAATAAACATCTCTTGTCGTAGTCCCTTAGCCTCTACCAGGCTTCGGGAAGGGGATGGAAAGAGTAGACATGTGCCAAATAAAACAGACAGATTGTACATGTATCAGGGGAGTTGGTCGACGCTAAGAGAACAGTTTTCGGGAGAGGCAAACTGTTAGTAGAATGATTTCTTATGACATCAACTATATCACAACAGTCGCAGCCCGAAGGCTGAATTGATGAATTGATATTAGTTGCCGATAGACTCGTTCTGCTTGTAATCTGGACATTCCGAAGCGTCAAACCGAACGCTATAGAACGAGTGCTGTACCACACATGGTTTGTTTACTGAACACGTAATTGTCTTTCACTGTCGCAAATTGCCCTATAACTTGTATTTTTTTTTTATTCTAAAGTATTTTAAGTTCTCGGACCAACTCCCCTGGCATACCATCTGTCTATTTGGCCAATTTCTACTCTTCCTAGCCGCTTCCCGAAGCCTGGTAGAGGCTAATGACACTGTGTCCTTAACTCATTGCATGAAAAAATGAAATCAAGATTGAGATGATAATCCATATTTCCTTATCGGTTATTAGAGAGATGATCTGGAACCACACCTTGGTGAAGACACATCTGTACTGCTCCCAACACAACGTACCGGTCCACTCTAATCTCAGCTTCTTTGAGAGTAAGAAAGTCATCAAAGTCATGAGAGGAACAACTCAACACTTTCCCAAGGTACAGCACTAGTTCCCTACAAGGCTAGCCTGCCGTGTATGATCCAGTCTTATCGTGGTTGGGGCGGGTTTTCCTCGGGACTGCAGGAGCTCTTTCCCGCCCGCCTCAGCTAGGTTTCCCGGTAGGTATTTCAGGATGGGAGATTCGTGGTGGGGTCCCGGTGTGCCATCTCTATTAGCCTAACACTCCTACCAAGCGGCCTATCGTACTGGGCGGGGGCCCCGAAGACACAGCCTGCCCCCAACTACTAACTACTATGCCCCAACCACGATTAGACTGGACCCAATGCCACTACAAGGCTAGCTAGTATGATAACATTTGTTATCATTCTATATACAATACGTATCTTGTTTTAAAATTAAACTTTAAATGTGTGTTAGAATGGTCCGGTAGTGAACACGTCTTAAGAAAATGTTATGTTTTGTATGTAGAAAAACAGAAGTTAAAAACAACACGATTCACTGCACAAAGGAGGAAATTAACCTTATTGATAAATGACCTGCAAAATCCTATAGTACTAGTAGTTCCTTTTGGTATTTCGTACTGTAGACAAAGTGTCTGACTGTGCCCTTCATCTTGTCCCACTTTCAGACATAACCTGGTAACCTGGTATGTATTACTATTATTTAAGGCAGACATACTACTTGCTACTATGCTAAGTTATTACTATCAAGTTAATATCTGACGTTATTGCATTCACCCTATCAGAAAGTAGAATTTCCGGCAACACCATTACGCACATGCGCAGTAGTAGGGAACAGCGGGGTCCTACTGAACAGTCGATGTGCCACAGATATTGACTCCAAAAATTACATCTTCAGGTAGGACGGTTTTTCATTTGTCGGTTTATGTTGAAGCCACAGTGTGTTGAAGCATTAGTTATGTTAAAAGATTTTTGCACCAAAAATGTACATATAAATAATTGAAATTTTCTCATCTAGATTGTCATTTTCAATAACTTTCAACATATATGCGTCGCTAATATGTTGAAAATCCAGTTTTGCTGCCCTGAAATTGCATTGGATGCCTTTAAATCACATTTTCTCAATTTTGGCAAGATATTTGTAGTATCTTGGTATATTTTCAGATGATATTCACGTGTCTTTTTTCCCCTCAATTTTTACCAGAGTGAACCTACCGCCAGTTGGAGGAATATTCACCAAGGATGTGGGACATAGCGCTCACTTTGTAACCATCAACCCGTCCATTCTTGTGGAAAGGTGCGCTTCAGTACAGAATCACTTCTCTCATTGGATAAACTTCTAATTGTGATGGACATTCGGGATTGGTCTCTACTAGTACCTTTACCATAGCGATGATGCAATAGCCGTATTCATTTTTACGTCATTATGATTGATATAGGGTTAATGACCTACCCTTAGGTGTATATGGTGTTATAAGGCATGATAAGTTCTTTCAACTATCGAATAAAGCACCGAGTGAGCGAATATGAAGTAATATTGACCGACCAGCGGTTATGGCAAATGGTGTATCACATGTTAAGGAACACGGGGAAAATAGCTGAGATGTCAAGCTAAATTATGGATCCTAATAAAGTCAAAATCTACATTACAGATATGAATATCTGACCGAAGACGATCATCGGGAGTTATTTTTGCGGAGCGTGCTTGCCTATCAGGGAAACACGACCTTCTACACGCACCCTTTCCACAATCCGCTGTACCGGAAAGCCACATACAGAGCCCTATTCCTGGTCCGGGATCGCGCGGAGGGAAACATCGTGCGATGGTCTCATCCAGACTTCCTTAGAAAAATTAACTCCTTCTGGAAGAAGAGAGGAGTTAAAGCTAAACGGATTACATCTGGTGAGTTAGACCCACTTAAGGGGTTTCGGGATGGAAAACGTTTCGGAAGAGTTAACCGTTACCAGTCTAAAGTGGGCCAAAGCGTGCGGAGGTTTTGTTAGGTGTTTTTCGTGTTTTTTTTTTTTGGCTTGTATGTCCGTTATTTGAACACAGTAGAATCACAGGATGTGGGGGCAATTGTGTAACCACAGATTGACAGGAAGGTCGAATTGGAGGTCAACATGGAAGTGTGAAATCGTCGGTCTTGTTTCAAAATTCATTTTTACACAGATGGTAGAGTATTAGTATGCTGTACTTGAACATACTGTTCATTGATGATATAACGTACTTTCTTGAATCGTAAGTTTTCAATTACAATGTAGATACAGTTTATCCCTTTTTCTTCCTCACACTTTAGGTCTGTTGGTGACCACCCTTGCGCTGTCTATGTGTGAGGAGATTCATCTATACGGTTTCTGGCCTTACAGTATGGACCTGAGCAAGAAAAAGGCCGTACCGTATCACTACTTCAAGCGACACGTCACTGTACAACACAAGGTTCTCAAAGAGGAAGAGGAAATATTTCACAAAATCGTCGACAAAAACTTGGTCCACAACATGCAACAAGAGTTCAATTTACTTGTGAACATGCACAAGGACAGGCTATTGAGACTCCATGTCAAGCCGTGTGTACGTGAATAAATCTGTCCAACCCAAAAGCGCCGCCAAGCGGCTGAGGTCATCATTGCAGGAAAACCGGCATCCATGTACCCTCTGTCTGTATTTTTGAGTACTACATACTACATTGTAGTACCTTGATACATGTACTAGTATGTATTGTACATAAGATAATTGTGCATTTTGCATTCGAGCAAAATGTTGTAAGTGTATAATAACCTTAGATCAGATTGTGGATGGTTTGGCTTTAACTCCATCTATCAGTTTGTCTAAAATTGCGGAAGGGGATGGTTCTTTGGTGTACAAAGGAACAAAAGTGTGCGAAGAAATAACCGATTTCGCAAGGGTAAACTTGCCGACTGAATGAACCAAGGAATTTCAAAGTTCCATTCCTTTGCACTCATCATAGTTTCTTGACATTATCCTTTCTTGTTGTTTCTTTCTGTACAGGAACTCATTCGTGAAAATTCTGACAGCAACAAGAATGTATTTGTAGGTGACAAAGCCTTGCCCTGCATTAATATATAGGATAATATACAGTCCAAGATGTAGCAGACGCACCAGTCAACATTGTTAATGTCACAATGTCCGTCCGTTGGATGGTGCTTTTCGCAGACCAGTGCAATACCCATATCCCTTGGGGACTCTCATTATTGTTTGTACTGCTAATTTATTTAACTAGATGTCATTGTTCTACTAGTATATGTCCATTGTAACATTAAATTGTTAAGTTTATTTTGAAAGGTTATGTTACAAAACAATGGGCATTTGAAAATTCCCATCACAATGTCTAAAATAAAAGTTATATAAGAAATAAATTCAGGAACAAATTATAATCAAAGGATTATATTCCAAAGTCCCTATGTCTATTTTAATTTCTAACTAACCTCAAGTTACTCCACAGGAAAGCTAGCCTGAGTGTCAGCCTTGTTAGCTTTCGTCCGCTACCCAAGGTCCGCTCCCCGCCAACAAGACTGAACCCGCACGTATTCCTAACGGCTGGTTCCTTGTTGGCGGGGAGCGGACCTTGGGTAGCGGACGAAAGCTAACAAGGCTGACACTCAGGCTACAGGAAAGCAACACAGAAGCAGCCATTTTTGTAAGGAAGCTCAATTTTATTGTCAACCATTCACTCAGACGAGGGAGTCTCACAAAAATGATCATAAGCCTAGATATTCACATACACATGTACACATAGAACCTCAGAAAATCCAGGGGGAAAGAGAAGTTAAGCCAATGAAATGGTTACAAATTTGTGAAGTAAACCTGATTGGTATATAACGTGATTAGTGTTTAATGTTAGCTTTGAGCCTTCTCTAGTACTATATGACGAGATGCTACATTTGGGAGTTATTACATGTGATATAAACCCTGCACACCCAGAAACGGCAAGTCCGTGTGTATATCCCGGTAGGGGAAAAGCTGCAGAAGGGTGTACGTTCGCAGGTCTTGCCGTGGAATGCCTTGATTGGCTGTGATTTCCTGCCAGTTTGCCATGCAGCCAGGAATGCTCAAGTCTTCATCGATTTTTACCTACAAGCTACTGACTATCGTCACGTCGGAAAATAAAACAAAAAAAAACATCACTTCAAAGGCTTATAGGCTCTAGACAGTTGTGTTACCAGGTTACCCGAGGATCGCCCGGTAACACACATGTAAATTAATATTCCCTCTCAGAAATGGTGCCATGTCCTGAACATCCTACAAACTCAACAGCAAGGAGAATGAAATGGTGAACAAAAGTGATTATTTGCAATTGTGTTCCACGCACCTTGAGATGCATTTCTCTGTATATCAGTACACACTCTAGCAGATAGAGTCTAGGTTGTTATATAAGGAATAACTGGTCTGGTACAATATGCATGAACTACAGACTGCAACATATACATTACAGTGAACACACACTACTTTCTGGTAATGGTTGTAGGTTGAGCTGTAAGAATAGAGGACATATGGCAACCACTGCTGGTGAGAAGCACACATACTCCACATAATAACACCTCCAGATGACCTAAAACTACGGCTAACTAAAAAGTTACAAAGTTCCACAAAAAGCAGGACCGGCATACCCCAGTACAATTCTCGTCTCTCGTGACCAACTGGCACACAGGGCAAGTCAAGTACGGCTGTACCATCCTTGCATAGACATAACGTATCGCTCCAATACAAGAGGGGCATTACAAAATCTGAGTTAAAAACATTATTCATATTACGTAAAACATTAGATTCGGAAAATTGTGTGACAAGACACATTTGGCAGTACCTAACAAAATGGGGCCATACTTGGCGGCATGCTACATCTAATGTCGTTAAAAATCACAGCCTACCCAGGCAAGCCTTCTTCCCAGCACTCAGCATTGTAAAAACATAAGTACATCCTCAATAGTGGTCAATATGGTCTTGTTTAAAATATAGTAGTGCTTGAGTAAAAGATAAAATACAGCCAAACAGGACTTGGTTTTGGTGCTGGGGGATGAAAGCTACCTGGGTAAACTGGTAAAAAGAGCTGCCTTGTCGGGATCATAGATTGATGCACAGAGAAAAGACAATCAAAATCAGCTTTAGGAAAGGTGGGAGACGGTTAGTTAGTTCTGTCGCTATGGAAAATCTCCAGACACGATCATTTACAATCATTGGAAATGCTACCGTTTCATTTTCTCAAGCAAAAACACACTTTATTCGCGCCCGGTGAGGGGTGCGGCGACCTAAGACACTTCGCAGCCAGAATTTTGGTCGTCCCACAGCCATTAGGCAAAGCTATCTACGGTCACAACTCTCGGGCGCGGCCGCGCCTAGTCCGTCTCTTGACTCGCGTCTCCCTTCTCCTCGTTCTCGGCAGGTTTCTCGTCGGCGACGATGTCTGCGGCGGCGGCCTTGGCGTCGTCCGTCTCGGCGGGGTTTTCCACGGCCACCTCGATCTTCTCCGGCTCGTCAGCGGGAGCCTCGTCCTTCTTCTCCTCCTGACAGAAACAAACAAACAAACATTAGACATGGTAGCTAGAGAAACTGCTACAGTGAAGCCGTCTAGTTAAACCCTTTAGTAAGTGAAAACTCTCCAGTCAGTACTAGTGCTGTGTACCTAAACCCACATTTAGGTTCAGGTCAAACATTTTTACAAGTCCAGAACCGGTCCAGCGAACCGGTACACAGCACTAGTCAGTACTATAGGTGTAGCTCCCAATGCACCTTTCTTATGTTAGGCCATACAATCGTCATAACACATCTTGCAAATTTTTGGCAAAATCTAAAACATGTAGAGGTAAAAACCTGTAAACTTCTATAGTCAATTGGAACTAATTAAAGCTGCCTTTCTAAAATTAGGATTGTGTGGCCTAACAGTAATACCGCATCTACTGGTACATCTTCTAGAAAACCGTGGTTAACTTAGTATAACAGTTAACAATTGCAGAACTAAAAGGCAAGGTCTTGCAGTGAAGTTGTCTTTTTTTAAATGTCATTTAAAGTGCTGTGCAGTACATTTGGTGAGACAACAGCATTGTTAATTACATTATTGCAATACCTTCATGCAAAGCAACATTAAAGAAGTGTCTTAGCTTAATTTCATTAACAGTGAAAAAATCATTAAGCAAGAAACAATAATTATTGATAAATGATTGATCAGTGATTATTGGGCCCCAGCAGTTCCGTCCATGCTGTGAGATCAGAGTAAGGATTAGGTCATTTATGATTAGGATTAATATGTGATGCTGTGATTGCTGAGAAAAGATTAGACCAACTGTTACGTGAGCTGTGATTGGAAGCAAAAATTGTGGCTTCACCAATCAACCTTCTTGGTTCTCCAACAACAGGGAAAGTCACGAAATTATTCAATTTGCAATCCCAAGTTAGCATTGAAACAATCGCTTGTAGAGCTTTCTTGTTACCAGTTTAAAAAATGATTGGTGAATTTCTCTTTCGTTCCAGATTGTTTAAAGAACCAAGAAGAATAGGGTGTTGCCGGATTCACTTTAACCCTCCACACACCTGAGCAGCAGGCTCTGTTGGGGCCTCCTCCTGCTGAAGGAAGGTTAATCACACGGTTACTAGTAGTTCATGCACACAGCCACAAACAAGGCATAGGAAAAAATGTTTGTTTCCTGTTTCAGTCCTGACAAAATTAAAGTCGGTAGGTAGGGATTACCGGTATCTTTTTATCTTCCTTTTTTATACAAAAAATGTATTAGATTTTGGCAACCTCGAGTGATCCAATCTATACAATACAGTTTAACAAAGTAAAACTTGCCTGAGGACAAATATAGTTTTAATGTCAATGTTGGAAAACCAATTGTACAACCTTTCATCACTCGGGTGTCAGATCAAGACATGGTTGATCAGCTCAAAAAATTTATGTCCCTTGCATTGGCAAAGGATAGGGTCGGCAGTTTCTAGGGTCAGTCGGGAATCAGGAAACAACTTTTTTTTCTAGGCCCAACGTACAAACAACGAGCAAAACAACATACACGTACCAACATGAAGGAAAACAACGTACCAATATGAAGCAAAACAACATCCCAATTTCAAGCAAAAAAGAAAAAAATCCAGCAAAACAACATGAACAAAACGAGGCAAATAATAAAAGTGTTGGCAAAAGTGTATGCCTTGAGTATGATGATGATGATGATGCAGTTTTCAAATTGTAAGCTACATGTCGTCATATCTACCTTGGGCTGTTACAGGAAAACATCAGTTTTATCTGCTTTAGAATCATATCAAGGACTTATAAGTTAATACACAAAGTAATGTGGTGATAAAACCCCAAACACACCTTCGCAGCCTCATCCACCTTCTCCTCTGTCTGCTGAAAATAAGAAAAGCACAAACCCTTAAAACTATGACATTCACTGATTAAGATTCATTTTAGGAACAATTTTGACAACTACTGGAGACAAAATATGTGCTGTAACAGGAAAGGAAGACCTGTATCTCAACTCAACTCAAATTTGACTTTTGCTTAAAAAAGACTCCAAGCCTTAACTTTCCCCATGCTGTGTTATCCCATTACCAATACAGATTTTGTGCCAAATGACTAACTTAGCAGACTGAGGGTTAAATCTTGAAACAGTGTGTCAATAGGAGCGATTGTTGTTTTTGTTTACATCATACACATGCAAATTATTGGTAGGCAAATTAGCCAACCGTAACCCGCTTCTTGCGTACTACTCACTGGCTGTGACATTGGCAATCACTTGTATGCCATATCATTTGTAAATCACAGCCAGCTTATAGGTTGCTTTATATGTTAATCTTATGTGTGGAACTAAAAGAATGATACTGTGTTCTATGGTGTACAATCTACCATGTGATGTTAGTACTCTTCTCAAAATGAGAAGAATATTGTGTTCAACAAATCTCCCATGCACAGACGTATTTAAGACCCCAGCACTACAACCCCCTAAAAGTACAACATGCAACTTGTGCTGTGAATCTAAGACTTGTTCCAACCTTTATGACATCTTCTGCCTTTTCCTTTCCTTCCTCAAGCTTTTCCTCTACGTTCTGTGAAAGCCCAGCAAAAGTTGTTAGACCAAAGACAACCAAAAGAAGTTTCTTCAACACATTCACATACCATACCACACCTTGTACTGACTCACATACCCTGACATAAAAATATCTTTCACTGTAGTATTGGTCTTGGTTAGTTCAAAGCAACAGTGAGTTTCAGTTAGCTGCCTGCACCACTATGCCACCATACAGCATGGAATTTGCTAAATGTGCTATGTCCTCAAACCCTTCACCCCACAGGCTTCACACCAAGCGTAAGCAAACCTCGGCAACAACAGCAGCCTCTGCCACCCCATTCACAGCCTCCTCGGCGTTCTTGCCCAACTGTGCAAGGGAATTTGGGGAAGCCATCCCTACCCGCACCACTACTGGCTCCAACTCCCCACCCTGTGCTTCCACTGTCTGCAAGAAGACACCAAGGCAAACAGCTTGTATAGACAGAAACCAAGGAAAGGGAAGCAAACCCAGAGTTGCCATAACCCCCTGCACACCCTTTTGTACTTCCACCAGAGCTCCCGGTCTATGATACACCCCAACAGTTTCTTCTACTTTTTAAAACTGTTCAGACAAGTTTTTTTTTACAGCTTCCCACTGCAACTTATTTTCTCATTTTCATAAAAATTGGTCAGGTATGAGCTCTTGGGCTGTATAAGACCATCCCATCAGCAAATCCTTCCAACAATTAAACTGGAAACCTTTAGACCATTTCCTGAGACAGAACCAGCCACTGTGAGAAACCTGCAGACATTCTGTAACCACTGTTAGCAGAGGTACAGCACAAGGACCATAAACCGATTCCCAGCACTTTCATCAAAACCATCAGTACCAAACCCACAGCCCTGCAAAACCCAGGTCAGAAATCCAGTGCCAACAGGTTTATATCACAGTTTCATAGACAGCATGTATGTATGATGTGTTCAGAAGTGTCCAAAGTACCATGCTGCCTGTGACACAGTAATAAAACCTTGTGCCCAGCCCCACACCCAGACTGTGCAAACCTCAGCTGTGCTGGTGCCACCCTCCTGCCCTGCGCCACCAAAGTGCTCAGACAATTTTGACTTCACTTCAATGAAGTTTTCCACAGAATCATGATCAGACTCAACTTCTGAATCTTCACAGTTGATTTTTATAATGCAGGGACCATTTGTTTGTTTGCTATAGTTTTTGTTTCTTTGGTTCTGCGTCAAGAAGGGAAGATTATGACTAGAAGAACCATCATATTTGATATTAGACTCTTGTTTTTTCACAAGCCTTTTTGTTTCTCCTGCCTTTTCCTCATCTTTATATATTACATGAAGAGCACTATTGCTGGACATTGTTCTATCAGTACCATTCACAACAACTGTTTCAGTCTGGAATCTTTTTTTAGTTGCAAACTTACTGTCTTTAATAACCATACTCTGAGACACCTGTTCTGAACTAACTTCCTTTTTGCCACTTTCGTCCTTTTTGCCAATCTTATCTTCTCTGAAAATTGACTCCTCCACCAATTTTGTGAGGGCTTTGTTCACAATTTTTTCCACTTCATCCTTTACAATTTTTTTGGACACTACTTCCTTAGGGACTACTTCTTTCACAATGTCCTTAGGGGCTTCCTTCACAACTTCCTTGGGAACGTCCTTCACCACTTTCTTAAAAACTGTTTCCCTTACAACTTCTTTGGGGACTTCTTTCACAACTTTCTCAACTATTTCTTCCTTCACAACTTCCTTGGAGACTTCTTTGGGGACTTTCTCAACTACTTCTTCCTTAACAACTTCTTTGGGGACTTCTTTCACAACTTTCTCAACTACTTCTTCCTTCACAACTTCCTTGGGGACTTCTTTTGGGACTTTCTCAACTACTTCTTCCTTCACAACTTCCTTGGAGACTTCTTTGGGGACTTTCTTAACTACTTCTTCCTTCACAACTTCCTTGGGGACTTCTTTGGGGACTTTCTCAACTACTTCTTCCTTCACAACTTCCTTGGGGACTTCTTTCACAACTTTCTCAACTACGTCTTCTTTCACACCTTCTCTGGGGACTTCTTTCACAACTTTCTCAACAACTTCTTCCTTCACAACTTCTTTGGGGGCTTCTTTCACAACTTTCTTAACTACTTCTTCCTTCATAACTTCCTTGGGGACTTCTTTCACAACTTTCTCAACAACTTCTTCCTTCACAACTTCTTTGGGGGCTTCTTTCACAACTTTCTTAACTACTTCTTCCTTCATAACTTCCTTGGGGACTTCTTTCACAACTTTCTTAACAACTTCTTCCTTCACAACTTCTTTGGGGGCTTCTTTCACAACTTTCTTAACTACTTCTTCCTTCACAACTTCTTTGGGGACTTCTTTCACAACTTTCTCAACAACTTCTTCCTTCCTAACTTCTTTGGGGACTTCTTTCACAACTTTCACAACTATGTCTTCCTTCACAACTTCCTTGGGGACTCTCTTCACAACTTTCTCAACAACTTCTTCCTTCACAACTTCCTTGGCGCAATTTTTCACAACTTTCTTAACTACTTCTTCCTTCAATATTTCTTTGTAGACAACCTCTTCCTGCACTTTCTTGGGGACAACATTTTTCTTCACATCTTTCTTAACTCCTTCCCTAACAACTTCCTTGGGAGCTTCTTTCACAACTTCTTTGACATCTGTTCTGGGGATGTTTTCCTTCACAACTTTCTTGAGGACTACTTCTTTAACAACTTTCTTGGGCACTTCATCACTAGCCATTCTTAACCAAACATCTGAAATAGTTTTGTCCACAGCTTTGGAGGTTTCCTTCTCAATATTCTCAGGAACTACCTTCTTAGAGATTTCATCCTTCACAATTTTGCTACGGGCCTTCTTCTGCCCTTCCTTAGGACTTAGATCCTTAACCACAGCCTCCTTAATGATTGGTTCTTCAAGTATATCTTCCCTATGAACTTCTCCAATGACAAGTTTCAGATTCTTTACATGTGAATTCTTTTTCTGCTTGAAAAGTCTATCCATTTCTCTTTTATGTAGCTCTTTCTGTCCAGCTTTTTTCTGGATCTTTACTTTAGGGACAGAATTTGGAAACGAAGATTGTTTAGCTTCCTTAGTTGTTGGTTTATGTTTAGTGTTCTGAGCTGTGGTGCTGGCAGTCTTCCTTGTTGTTGACTTCTGTAGGAAGCCACAGAAACACAAATATGGTAGGATCTTATCAACATGGCCGACACATACAGTAACACAATACTTAGTTATTATTGAGTCGTTTTGCTACTTGCACTGGTGCAATAGTGCATGTGAAAATAAACATTGTGATAATGCTAAGAAAATCATTCATGTGAGACAACCTAGGTGCAGTAGTGAGGTGCATCTTTTAAGAAAAATCCAGGTGTGCTGTTTCCCTCTTGTGCATGGTTGCACCACACCATACTTTAGACATTCTAAGGTTTGATAAACTTGATTTAATGAGTAACATCTACACAACCTTTAGTTGTGTGTGCCCCCTAAAAAATCTGTAACAAGTTGACCTGATTAAAATATACACATCGAGTCATATAATCATTTTGTGTGTACGCTGGCTACTTTGTAGTCATGATACTGTTTTTAAATCTTCAAACGTCGGCAAACATTTTTCTATCTTCAATTGGTTGAAGACATCCGCCTCAAATGAAAGAAGCTACATCTCTTTTTTTTTTACCCCAGATTTTGATCTCTATGGGATATAATTCACAAAATCAAGTTTATTTCATCCTCTGTTCAAGTCAAACCTCGGAAATGCTGACATCTTCAGGCAAGTCTGTGTCTATCTGTTCAAACATGGCTACCTTGGCTGCCACCCCTCCCTCCTCCACTGTTCCATCTACACACTGCTGGAACAGGCCAATGAACCGACTGGGCTCAAAACTAACATTGGCAAGCATCAAATTGGCAAGCCCTGCAGAATTTTACAGACTAACACCAACACCATGCCAAATTCTACAAAACACCCAAATGTTCTACACAACCAGCAACCAAAATATATCTTTGTAATACATGTACCTATAAATCTGGACAAAAGACAATCTGTTGGACTGTTCCTTACACCCAACAATGAAATTTATCCAGTCTTTTTTTTCACCACCTATACAATATCAGGTGAAGATTCTCTCTTGTTCCAAACCAACCTGTATGTTTCCATCAACTTTTGCCTCAGCTTCCTTAAATATGTCATCTACAGCGATCTTTGCAGACGTTCCAGTGTCGGGAAGTTTCGCTGCTGTCTGTTCGACTTGAGCCTCCACTGCCTGGGGTTTACCGTGCAAAAACTCCTGTTACAGTACCTCTCCTTATCAATATTTACTTCAACCATGTCACCACAAATTTCTTTATTCTACGTGGATCAAAAGCTCTGGACTTTTCAAAGTCACCACATGCTAAACTACAATGTAATTCAAAACCACTTTATGTAGGCTGGGCTCACCACTTTAGACCCTTAAACTCCTTCACCAAAAGACATGCAACACCAGTCTACCAGATCAAAAGATACACCTTCAAGTCTACGAAATATCCCTTTTTAGACCTGACTAACACCACACAAAGGGGTAAGAAAAGTTCCCAACACCTTCATTTTTCTAAAACCAGAAGTCTTTTTTCATCAGACCAACCTTTTTGGCATCTTCCGCCTTGTCCTTTGCCTCATCAGCTTTCTCCTCTACTTTCTAATACATGGTTCAAAAACAAAGACACATTGATATTTCTCCTGATATTTCTCCTGACAGCTTTTTGTATCATTCTGATTTTTATTTCTCCATAGGGGCTCAAACTGATTAACCCGAAGCCGTCTAATGAGCCATCAGTGGTTAGAATTATTCAAAAGCAAAAACCATATTCGTCGTCGTACTGAATTTAGGATTGGCTGGACAAGACTTCCTTTTGAAATCATCACTTGTCTTTAATTTTACATCCGTGTCATCATTTCATTCTGCCCTGTGAGTGATTGGCAGATAATGTGATTAATAACAACGTATAGCCAACAAGACCAACAGTGCAGCGATGCATGCAGAGCTCATTCTGATGACACTGACCAGCAGACATGCGAACATGGAAACAAACCTTCGCAGTTTCCTCTGCTGCTTTCTCCGCATCTCCAACTTTCCCATCTACCGTCTGCCAAACAAATAAAACCGTCGGTCATTCTCTATTATACACTATCTTATCTTGTCTCCCCTTCTTCCACCTTGTGACCTTTTGCCCTTCACCCTACTTGACCTTTCACCTTTGACCAAATTTCATAACCACACTTTTAAAATTCCACAGCCAATAACACTACTTCGGTACTCTCACAACCATGCCATTCCTGTGAATGATGTAGCCTTCAGACCACATGTTAAACTACAAGGAATGGTGTAGTTGCAAACTCCACTGGAAAAAGGACCCATTTGGCATTTCACAGACCTTTGAAATACCTCCGATCTTGTCCTCAGCTGCATCAATTTTGTCATTTACAACCTGTGATTTACAGAAATGAACATTTGAATATGTTTCCCTGGTGTACAGAGTCACACCGGCTAGCCACAGGGACATATGAAGAAATGTCTTCCACAGTCCTAGGAACCCATGCCACATTCACCTTCAAACTATACAGCAAGAGCTTCAAGTTGTTTTGATCATAATTATGGTTGAAACAACTGGAATAAAGGCTTTGAGCAGATCTCACTAATTTAACCACCAAACTAACAATCAAAGATGAAGAAGACTCAGAAGCTTTCACAAGTACTAAATTATCTATGAAGAGTTAGGCAGAAGCAGCAGGAGTTAAGAGGCACACCGCACGCTTAACCAACCTTGTCTGTGTCCTCTATGTTGGAATCTCCCCCGGAAAGCCGTGCCCTTAGTTTCTGATATAAAATACACAGGACAGTTAGCCGCTACGCTGGACTGTTAGCCGAAACAGTGCTTCTATGCACAGGAGATTTGCAGGTGAGCAAGGACAGAGTGATGGTGCTTTGGAAAGCGGAGGTGCTACCGTCAATCTTGAATCTTTCGCAGCAGCTTCATTTCGCGGTAGGGGGAAGTACAGTAGTCATACAAAGAAGACATATTCGCTGTGTCAGGAATTTGTAGTGCAGAGATCACTGGGAAAACCGCGAAAATAAAACCAATGCAAGAGTTTCATGATTCACAGTATGTGGCGCCGCCTATTTGCGTATATGTGAGAGTGTGATGTGCATTTTGTGTGGTGAGTGTTTGTGAGGCGTGTGCTGGTCACACACCTTGGTAGCCTCGTCATCAATCTTCTCATCCTCCGGCTGCAAAAATGTTCAAAATGTCAGCAAGGAAAAGAACTTCACTCAGGTACTGAGTTGTATAGCCGGGGTGCCAGAATGTTCCTTGGCTCCAGGGCCAACATGCCCCCAAGGAAATTATACCACAGCCCCCTCAGTTACACCCCACACATTGACAAACTTGAGGCCTAGAGTGCTACATGTATACGGGTCTGGCATCCAGGCTAAACTTTGTACACAGAAGGCTATTGTCTGTTTGCATAATTTAGTGATCATAACATGTTTCAGAGAACTGTCCAACAACTTTTTTAGTGCAGAGACGAATTAGAAACGTGACATTAACAAAACTAGTGATTGTTGGTGCAAGTTTGTTTCATTACCTATTTGTTAGATATTAGGGTTATGTCCTGGACTTTTTATGCATGCATGGACCATAGTCTGCTTCAAGTTCAAGACAAGTAATCAGTCTTTGGAAGTCAAGTGTTATCTTTACATTAACCTACTACAAACTGTTAGCTATGAACGTGTTTACATGTTCGGCCACAGGAAGTAACTTTTATGGATGACATCAGCGCGCACATTAATTTTTGCCTGATTTTGGAGAGAAAAAAAAGAAATTTTGTTGCCCTAAAAAATGGGCAAAGAGGCCTGTTGTCATACCGGAACGTGGATGGCAGATAAGTATGAAGAGAGGAGACAAGACAAGGCTATGATTTGTTGTTTTAAACAGATGTCGTAAGAGTTAGCAGTAAACATAGCAAAATATAGGTATCATTTCTCGGTTAACAAGGCTTATGTCAAAATTTGAAAATGTAGGAATCTTGTGTTTTTGGCTGCCTTGTTCTTTTTCACCCTATCACATTAGATTTGGAGTCTGAGGAGGATGTCATCCATACAATTTACTTGCTGTGGCCTTCAGTGCGAGTCAGTGGTCCGTGCACACATGGAGAGGGGCTATGGGGCCCTGAAAGAGAACCGTCACCGTTTGCTGAACGTGTCCGTTGGTGGCCTTGGTGTCGTCAGCCTTCTCCTGCTCCTCTTGCTGAAAACAGATTCGCGATCGTGAGCGGGGACAGTCGGGATGCCAGGCTAACCAACTACAGTCAACTGTCACTCATTCAAACCACTTCACAATTTTGATATGCGCATATTTAAGTACTCTCACAAATGTTCTTGTAACATTATAAAAATCTGTCCTGGTGAATTATACATTTTCATGCTTTTCACTAATATTCAATTCAACATTGAAAATTTTGCTAACGATAAATCTAGAAACATCACGTTTTCTCACTCATTTTAAGTTTTGACACAGAATATCATATCTCTTGAAGATGAAGAAACGACCTCATGTAAGGAAAGGGCACTTTCATATTCGCAAGATTCTTCACCAATCATTTTATAAAATAACACTGTCAGTGTTCACAAAAATATAAAGTCAGTCTAAAAATCTGTGGGAACAAACAAACCAAAAAAATTCTATTTACATCTCCTGTAACTCAAAATACAGGAGACATATTCAAACACTGAAGCAAAAAACAAAAAAAAATGAATGATTTTGTCATTATGTAGTGTGATGTTGGTGTCATGTGGTGTTATGTTGGTAAAAGCAGCTTTGGAAAGAAACAGTACTGCAGGGATACAGCAGATATAAAAGTTCTAAGAGAAAGCTGATATAGCTTGCCTTAAAGACAGTTTGGTGCAAATAATGATATTACTATACAGAATACAAAATTAGTCAAAAACCCCACACCAAGAAACAAGCATTAGTAATTTCATATTACCTCCCAAAGTCAGAACAAGCCCTTTAGCCTTCACCAAGCTAATATAACCATTACATGATAAATCATAAAAATTTGCAAAGCAGATTTATGTGAAAACATGCAGGCTTTTCATTTTACAAAGTCAAAAAGACAGGAACAATTTATCTGCCGAGATTGGTGCCTAGAAGTAAGAATTCGTACGTAAGTTCAGACTGATCCGTTTATGTTAGTATGTAAAAACAAGCGGTGAAGTCAGGCACAGCAATACTGCGTGTTAGCTCCAGACCAGCCTAAACCCAGGTTAGGGACACTGAGCATCCCATACCCACCTTTATGGGCGATTCTTTCTTTGCATTCTGCAAACAACAGGAACAAAATCAACTTAAACTCAACAAGAAGGTAACGATAAAAAAACAGAACAAAACAAAACAAAAAAATAAAGGTTTCAGAAGACTTGACAGTGGCCCTGACATGACCTCATCAGTGGATGTCTGTACAAATCATTTAGGATTGTCTCACACAACAGTTCTGTCTCACACAGACGTTTTCCTTCCTTACCTTAACCTCATCCTTCTTCTCCCCCTCGTCCTTGGACCGTGATGCTCGCTTGGAGAGTCGTCGGAAAAGCGAGGGTTTCTTCTTCTTCAGGGGTGACGTCGGCGCGGCGTCGCCCTCCGCAGGCTTCGTGGGTTCCTTCTCGGGCGAGAGGATGACCTTGCCGATGTTCCGCCGCTCGTTCATCTGCTGCATCGCCTCGGCAACCTGCAAGCCACACCCGATTGGTTAAAAACCCTTGACCAATCAGAAGCTTTATTTTGTAACAACACTACTTTTCATTGCCTGAAGTTAAAAGCAATTTCAGGGCAGTAAAACTAAATTTTCAAAATCAATTTTCTGATCAATTTCTATTGGCTGTTGGCTGGTCTAGCTATTTATTGGTGGTACCAAAAAATAAAAGGACTCTTCATGTAGCTTATTTATGGGCTGTTTCAAACACTATAAAATGTTGACGAAAATGTGCTAATGTGAAAATGGCAGTAAATGTCTATATCACACAGACTTTCTCATCCTAAATATCTTTTGTTTTTCTGCCCTGAAATTGCATAGGATACCTTTAATACATCTATAAAAATAGTAAAGGGGTAAAGAAAACTCAATGTCATTGTTAAGACTGTGGAGATGCCCTGACCTGTTCGAAAGCCCAGACAGAGTCGATGCGTGGCTTGATCTTCCCGTCCTTGTACATGTTCAGGATATCTTGGAAGGCACTGCGTACAAGCTCAATTTCACCTGGGGAGGGGGGCACAGAAAAAACACATTAAAACACACTTTTCAAACAGGTATGTAGTAGATAAATAACCCTGTCTGGGTCTATGTTTCAAGTGATTTGAAATATAATATTAGTCTGATCACTTATATTCTGAGAAGCTTCTCCAGATTTCTACTTTATCCAGCATTCCAAATACCCATTGGACTTGAATGTTGCATTCATCACGTTGTGTCTTTATTTTTGTCACATGTAGTTAATGACATATGAATAATATTTTCATGCACAGAGAAACAGACACTCATGATCTGTATTTTTCTATCAGTTCCACTGTGAAACTGAGAATATACATGTACCTAATTGAAGTTGAGAAGACGATATGGGCTCTATCTGTATGAAGTTTTTCTCTTTCAGAAAGTGACTTTACCTGTGAGGTGTGCGAGTTGGAAGCCAGCAATGGCCTTGTTGGTCTTGACCAGCGACACTGGGCTGACCGAGGTGGACTGCCACAGGGTTTTGGCCATCTTCATCAGATTCCTGTTTTCTCCCTTCACCATGTTGGCTGAACCTGTGAAGTACAGTTTGGAAGAGTTCAATTCTGGCACAAAAATCAGGTCTAGATGTACAGGGAAGATTTAAAAATTGCACTGCACACTTCTCAGAGTTGGAGCTAGTCAACCCTGTTTTCTTTGTATCTTTGCAAGGCAGACCCTTGTGATATTTTAGTGCAGGAGAATTTTTAAGATTGAAATGTGAGGAAGTACTTTTATGAGGCCTTGTATTAACTTGTAACTTACAATGGGCCAAACGTAATGGTGGGTATCTACCCTGCAGTGCTTTCATCAGCAGCTAGGTGGAGCTTTTGAGCTTGCACAAAAACTCAAATGTAAGTAATCCAAAGCAATGTCCGATGCAGGAAACTATAACATCTTACATCAAGAAGTTTAAGAATATTTTGTTGAAGGTAGCTGAAAGCAAAACCAGTGGCAAATAAAATTCCTTGGCTTAGAACCCAGCGTATGTGGAGACTTACCATAAGTGACGATCTTTCCCATTGGTCTGAGGAGCTGCAGACCCTTGGATGTGTCTGCACCTCCCAGGGGGTCCAGGACAATGTCCACACCTAAGGGGGAGGGGGGCATTGTTAGTGACAAGGTCAAGTTTGTATGTTGCAGAGAGACAGCTTTGCTTACCCAGGTAGTGAAATACCTGCCCCCCCGAAATCTGGGAAAATCACTGTATTTCAGAGTGGAAGCACACTCAAGGCCATTTATTTCAGCAAAAGTTTTTCTAAACAGCTTTGTCATAGTATTTTGTACAATAAAACCTCCAAATTCTCAGATCATTTTCTTTCCTGGGCTTTCTACTAGCATTTTTTTTTTTATTCCAACATTTCTCAAAAGACATGGTGACAGCACACTCAAGTTTTTTCAACTATGCCGCCACCATGCAGAGGACAAATGCATGAATGGACAAAAAACAATCAGTTTCATCTGAGTGAAGTGAGGAAAGTCGTGTTAAGTACCATTCCCAAGGGCATAAGATCAGTGGTTTCTACCAGTTTTAGTTTGAACCTATCACACAGTCTTCTTTATAACTTGAAAATTTATATTATCTCTGAGCATCTCGACTTAAAACCGTGCCTTGGAAAAAACAGGAAGGCCGTCGTCCATCTTGCTATCGCAAAAATGGCTGGAATGTTGTCAAGGCCAAACTCCACTGCCACTGCTAACACACAGGGTCAGGTCAGGGCTGGTCTATATACATCAAACACTTCCACAACTTACACATGTCCTACACAGCACTAGGTCTAATGTTAGGCATGGTCTGAATAACAGCTATGCTTCAGATTTTAAAGGTGAAAATGTGATCATTGGTTATGTAACATTAAGTGGTTTTGAGGTGAATAAAAGCTAGAAATGCATGACGTTTACCTTCGCATATGGTCTGCTCTGTTAATTCTTACTCAAACACATTCATATATATGGTGACAGTAGTCTAAATCCCTGCTGCTATAAAATTGCAACATGATGTAACCCAACACTGGTTACCAAGGTGACAGACATCTGGTTCAGGTCATTGACCTTATTGGTTTGGAGAATAAGAGGAACCAGAGCACAGTAAACATAAAAATTGCACAGACCTTTGGGGCTGATGTTCTTGATCTCCTCTGAGTAGTCTCTCGTCCGGTAGTCGATGGGATGGTCCACACCGTTCTCCTTGATGGCGTCGTGTTTGGTGGCGGAGGCCGTGCCGAACACTGTGACGTTCTCAACTGTCTTGGCGAGCTGTGTAGCTGCCCAGCCAACACCACCTGCATCATGGGAAGGCAACAACCGTTTACCATTATTCTATTTCTTTTTACTATATATAAATTTCAACAACTTTGACTATTTTTCACTGTTTTTATTTCAATTACTCTCCAATCATTTCAATTCTCAAGGAGATTTGGTGCCCCTGTATGAAAGAACTGTTTAAAAAGTTCTGGGATGACAGTTCTTTGACACCTTCATCTTCATTTTCATTATTCTCTCCCTTTAAAATCTTCTTGAATGGTTATTGAATTTTTGAATATGTTTGTTGCTTTTTGCAGGAAACCCTTGGTAAGACCTGTCTGCCCTGGATGCCCTAGTTTCTGTGACCCCGGGGGTCGTTCACTATACACTCAGGGGAGGAGTGCATGTACCAAGGCTTACTCAAAATTATGAAATCATGGTAGTACCATGCAAACAATAACCCTAACAGCAACCACCGTCGCCATGGCAATTTATGTTTTCATTGCTAGTCTTGCTTGTTTGTTTGTTTGTTCCGTAGCATAGACTGACCTGCGGCGATGTGTACCAGCAGGCTCTTCCCCGGCCGCAGGTTGCCGAAGTCAAACAGCATGAAGTACGCGGTCAGGTAGCTGAGCGGGATGGCGGCGCCCTCCTCGTACGACATCTCCTCAGGCATGACGAACACGTTGGTGGCGGGCACGGCCACGATCTCGCGCCACATCCCCGTCTGCGCCAGACAGATCACATTCTGCCCAACCTGGACAACACAGAAATAACCGTATTAATCAGACTGTAAACATTCTGCAATCACTCTACAATAGGAGGACAAAATATTGATTGAATATGAGTATGAGAAGTATGAAATATGGTTTGAATACATGTTATGAAAACAAAAAATATTGTTTGAATATGTATATTGAAATGTTTGAAAATCCATGGTCAGAATACATATCACTGCAAATTCAAACTTTACTTTGGTAGAAAAAGACTGGAAAGTGTATAAGTATGGAAATTTATTATGCCTTAAAAGAAAAATCCATCCAAAGCGCGGATGTTCAGCACATGTTCCATGGTAGATGGGGAAATAGGTCAGGGGATATAACAGTCGGGGCGAGGTCAATGCATTCAACTGACTTCCTTTTGCATTTTCCTGCTTTCATAAATGTACAGGAGACTCTTGTCTCTTCCTTAAGTCTGTGGCATGCTGGTATATCTTAAAACCAATATGTCGCTAAGTTACAAAAACAGTTTTGAGAACCAGATTACTACATGGATACATTGCGATGGCAACCACAGTGGGCATCTGATAATTACAAAACGAGTTCTAATTTCAGACAACCATTTTATCTAAAGCCGACTTTACGACCATCTACTGTAGCAACTTCCTCTTTAAATGTCTACGTTTAATTCTTCACCACTGTCATCCTGATATTATGTTCACACGTATGTATGTTTAAAACCTAATATTGACATACTATCACCTTCCAAACGACCAGCTATGCTCGTATCCATATTACACAACTACTGAATGACCTGGCATTATTGTTTCTTAATTAAAGGCACTTTCCACAGAAGGGACAACACAGGTGAGATAATGATGAAGACTACCTGTAGTAAAGACAGGCCTGTGGCCAATTATGTACTTCCACCTCTACCTTTGATGTTAGTGAATGGTAGGATGGACTACAAGCCAGCCATTCCTGCTGTCTGTTATCATTAGGTTTATCTTTCTACTAGGTAGACACACACTGACAAGTAGCCCACAGAAAGTTACCAAGATATTCCTTATCATACTTGTGGATCTATGGAAATGTGGTAAGCAACATCTGGTTTTCTCTTGTCATAGGAGGAACAATTACGTAAATCTCGACCAATTTTTTTTTAAAAGATTGAGACACCAACATGCTTTTTGTTGACATATTATATATATTTCTATCCTACATTCACCTCTTGTGTATTTCAAAACAGGTCATTTTAAACTTGTAAATTTTCGCGACACAAACTATACACAAATTTATGTCTTTTTTTTTCCTGATATACTACTTCTTTCTTCCACACATGAATGCACCCTGAAGGGAGGTTGCACTAGACATTCTTCAACTATTCATATACACCACAGCTTTCCCCACACCACTTGTAGCTGTAGACAATCACAGCCTACAGATTACCGGCGACCTCTGGTAAAAAGGTTACACAATTATCCCGACAAATGTCCCCTGCTGCTGGCTAAACCGCAGTAAAATATCCACCTATCTGGAGCAGTTATCTATGGGAGAAACCCATGATATCCCTGCTGCGGTTATCAGTTGGTAGCAGTAGGGAACATCTGGACTGGAGTGAGCTAACAGTGACACACGCGTAATCCCATCTCACCTTGTATCCTCAGGCAATACAATCAGCTTATTCCTGGATTTCATCCTGAGAATGCCATTACTGTAGTATTACCAAGATGCCACTCTGACTCGCAGCAAAAAGCACTCCTAAAGTATCCTTAAATTCAGTTCCAAAAATGGAATCGCATCTCAAACCAGTTGACTTCATACTGAATCATAGTAGGGACAAATATCATGTACAGTATACGAAAGTTCATATATTGGTCTTTTTGATGAGAGTAATTAACACTGATCAATGGACAGAGCATTCTGCAGAACAAGGGGGTCATCTGCAGTACCGAAAAGTGGGGCAAGAGGGCCTCGCTTCCTGCAACCAACATTCATGTTGCCGCTAACAGGAGATGCCAGGCAGTGTTGATATCCGGACTGGAGCCGCACAGGATATTTGCAGGAGCTTTCAGGAAATTGTGGAGGCCGCTTGTTGGGTTTGAAAGATACACACTCGACTGATGACATGCCAACATTTTCTGTCAGGCCTCCAGCTTTTCGTAGGACGAAAGTGCACTCTGTGAGACCTAGTCAGGCTAACAAGTGTTACAGAAACAGAAATTCCATATCAGAAGACTCAAGTGAAGAAAAACACACCCAAAAAAATGAAAATGGAGGAACAGGTCAACGTGAAGGTACAGTTTTCTTGAAGCAACTGGGCATCCAGTCTGTCTCAGACTCCAGACATTAATAAGACAGGATTGATCTGACTACCAAAGATAGGTCGTTGACAGCCTGACCCTTACCCAGCCCTGTTCTCTCCCACAACCCACAGTTCCTGTGACTGATTGGAATAATGGCCCGATCAATACAAACTTAATGTTTTAAAGCCAGAGAGTGGATCAGTGGGGATGTACTGCACCACTTGATCAATGAGGTGCGTACTGGTTATTAAAAGGGTTCTCCACACATGGCCAGTCGTCTTGGACCGCTGCCATTCTACACTAGGCTTGGCTGAACAAGCCTTGAGAATGTCAAGGAGAATTTCTATACCCAGCCTAATAATATGTGCAAGTAATCTTTGGAATGGATCATTTACCGCATGTTTTTCCTAGTGCAGTCATGTAAGAAGAATAAAATTGCCTGTACTATGTACTATGGCCTTGAATTTAATTAGTGGTGCCACTGGACAACTGTGTATGAAAATACCGGTACCAAAACTGTAAATGGTGTAAGGCATTGTAAAAAAAATGTTGCGTTTCAAGTTTCCTGACCAACGCTAGAAAAACCTGCCGACCCTAGTCTTTTTTTGGTGAATCCCAGCAAGTACATCCTTTTTTAGAGCTGATCAACCTTTTCTAGCTCCTTGATCTGACACCAGAGAGATGAAACAAGCGCAATTTATGCAAGTGTTACTTTATATTATAAAACTGTATTGTATGAGTTGGATCACTGCCACGGTAAAAAAAAAGATAATCCCTACCTACCGACCCTAACTTCTCCAGGACTAAAGCAGTAAACATTTTTTTCCCTAGGCCCAAACACAAAGCTTCATTTTTGGGCACTGGAGGCCAGTACGTTAGATGCCAGGGGAGGATGAATTTGCCCAATGTGTCAGACATGTGCTGATCAACTTACCGCTTCACCACAGATAGACGCCAGGCTTTACAACGTGACCAGGATACAGATGTCAATAACTTGTCCCGTGGAGAGCTATCCAACTTCCTTGACAGAATTTACAGAGGGCTTCTTTCACTAGAGCTGGCATTAAGCATATTTCAAAAGGCACTGACGTGACAAAATAACCTTCACATTGTCATGCTTTAGTGAAAAATTCTTCTCATTATCACTTGGGCCAGTTACAATTTCTGTAGAATTTGCTCGTTTGTTGGATGGTTGGGCGACTAATTTAGAGATAATAAAAATGTATTTGAAACAAGTTTTTGTTCTATTTTAGTCGTGACTTGAGAAAAAAACAGATCCAGCAATTTTTCAAGGCCTTACCATCATCACTAGATCATTGTTGTACCTATGTATCATCATAAAACCTGAGTGCCAAATTATTTCGCACAAGTGCCATACATTAAAATGCTCACATAGCCAGGACACTTGAATTCTATCATGTCCATTGGCACTTACACCGAAACGTTAGCGTAAAAGGTTACAATATACCAATGACAAGACGCGGTAATTGATAGTACGTGACGGGCTCGGCATATCGGCTTCACCTGCGTTTAGCGTTTCGAGAGAGCTGTCAGCGAAAACGGCCGCTATTTTTCACGGCATCAGTTTTTATGGGCTGGCCAACATGGCTGGTAACTCCAGCAATTGAATTATACGGCAAATTACCTTCTCTAATGGACAAAATGTAAATAGTCCTGGGAAAATGCATCAAGGCACACCAGGCTGGAACATCCCGGCTAATTGACTAGAGGGGGAAGGAGGAATGATTTGTTTGGGCTGGGATTTCCCTAGTGTCTGCTAAAAAATTAGATGGGTGCTCAAATAGATCACTGTTCAGTGCTGCGCTCTTACAACAAGGGATTGAATATCTATTCTACAGCTTCTAATGCGTTTGGTCTTCTGGTACTGCCAGATTCTTTGCAAGCCTGGCTAATGCTGGTGATATCGTGTATATGTGTAAGTGTGGTCAAAATGTTGTCGTGTTTAGATGATTTCTACATTAACAGCTTGTCCAATCACTAGCCATTATCTTCAAAGCATAATATGCACATTTTCTTCTCCTCTTCCCATTACAAGGCACCGGATGTGCAGTGTAGGTACTGAAACGTTATAATGAAAGGGGAAGAGAGGCTTGTATGTAGTCTTCCATTAAAACTCAGAAAAACGGGTTGTCATTTGGTTCTAATTGAAGGGTAGTATTGCCCAGGATATACATTAGTCCAATTCTCGCTGTTCTAAAGTTGTTCCCTGGGTAGATTAAATAAGGCCAAGGAAAAAAAATGTTGTGTTTCCTGTTTCAGTCCAGAAAAAATTAGGGTCGGTAGGTAGGGATCTTATTTTATTTTTATTTTTTATTTTTTTTTAGACTTTGCTGATTGCTGTGTTTATATAAGCAGAACATGATGAAAAATCGATTGTGCAATATTATATTTCATCACTCAGGTACTCAGGTGTCAGATCATGGAGCTTTAAACGGTCGATCAGCTCGAAGAACTTAACAGATGTCCCTAGCCCTTGCAGGGCTAAATTCAGATTCAGGTCCTGATTCAAGTCTACAGGTTTTCAGGGTTCTCCCTGGGATTTCGGAGAAAAAAAAGAAACAAAAAAGAATTCTAAGAAAAAAAAATTAATCTGCACAAAATTTTAATTGGTTTCTATCCCTTTGTTTGCCTAAAAATCGATAGTGTGATTGTATCAATTTGAAACCCCCAAAAATTAGCTAAATCGGCGATTTAAGGTTATTGCGCAATGG